CAGCAGGTGGTCATCCCCTGAGGGGTCCCAGACTGCGAGAGGGCACAGGTGTCGGGCTGAGATCCCCCCGAGTGCACAAATTTTTGTGCACCTGGCCTCTAGTCTATACTTATAATAGGATAATATGCAAATTGGTGGGGATGCCGACACATAACAACTGATCAGCAGGCTGCGTCCCCACCCCTGCGCCAGCCCGGAGACATGAGGATGATATCCCTGACCCCAGCAACAGGCCCTGGGATGTGAAGCTCGCATCCCCATCCCCAGCAACGAACCCATGCGGCTCTTGTCCCCGACCCTGGCAATGGGCCCAGGGATGTGAGGCTCACATCTGTGCCCCTCTGCGCAGGCTCAGGGACATGAGGCTTGCGTCCCTACCCTCTCTAATTAATTCCCTTTTAATGTGCACAAATTTTGTGCACTGTGCCACTAGTCACTTATAAAATGAAAGAAAATTGTTCTTTATAAGACAAGGCAGAAGAGCAAGCGTTTGCTTAAATGTCAGCTAGCTTAAACATGTTTTATCAGGTTATAGGAATTGATGCCCCCAAATAAATGATTAAGTATTATTTTTAAAAGTCTTTTCAGCCGTAGCTGGTTTGGATCGATGGATAGGTCCCAGGTTTGATTCTAGTCAAGGGCTCATATGGTAGCTTTATTTTTGATTTTTGAGGAACCTTCATGTTTTTCATAGTGGCAACACCAATTTCGGTCTCATCATCAGTGCACTGGGTTCCCTTTGCATCAGTGTTTGTTATCTCTTGTACTGTTGATAATAGCCATGGGATATTTTAACTCTGATGAAGATTAATTTAACAATTGCTTTTCTTATAAGTAGAGTGCATTTTATATGGTGTTAAGAAACTTTTATCTCCCCCAAGATGAAAAATTACTTCTGTTTTCTTTTAGAAGCTTTCTTTTAGATATTAACTTTAACATTTAAGACTATGATTCAGCCATAGCTGGTTTGGCTCAGTGAATAAAGCGTTGGCCTGGAGACTGAGGGGTCTGGGTTTGATTCCGGTCAAGGGTACATGCCCAGGTTGCTGGCTCTCATCATCGATATTTCTATCTCTCTCTCCCTCTCCCTTCCTCTTTGAAATTAATAAAAATATATTTTTAAAAAGACTATGATTCATCTCAAATTAATTTTGCATATTGTGTGATTTGAGTGTCAATATTCATTCCCCCCCTGAAAATATTGTCCCAACACAAAATCAGAAAAACAAAGAGAACAATAATCTAGTTTAAGTTTTACAGGATTATAGTTATGGGTCTCAGAGGAATAAAAATAAATTTATTTCAAGTTTGAGTTAATACTCCCCTTTGTATGACTATAGAAGCTACTCTTTGAACTATGGGAGGGAAAATAGACTAAGTAAAGAGAGTAGAAGAGAAAGAGGTGAGTGGCCTGTGGACAGGACAGTAATTACCCAGAAAAATTTTGTAGAAAGGGAGGGTAAAGCATCCACACATAAATCCATTTTGCACAGAGGCAAGTACTTATTCTACTAGTATCACAGAGTCCCATCTGTGCCCACAGACCATTAGCCACCACCCAATCAAGTACAGCCACTAAGAACTGTGCTCTGTCTGCACCTTTCAGTCAATTGTCCCAGGTCTCCCTTATTTGCTGCCAGCCCATGAGCAATAGACTACTTGGCAGAAGTGATGATCAATGTGTCCCATGGCTTTGTTCACTTCCATTATCTTTGTCCTAAGTTCACAATTCCCCAAACCCTATCCCCAAACCAAAGCAAACCCTTGAGCAATAGTATAGGACTGAGTATGTTTGGAAGGGTGAGGTATGTGAGAGAGAGCAAGTCTATCCTGCTATCTCCTCATTGCAAAATGCATCCCATTATACAATTTAATGTGTCTCTAGACTCAATATGCCTGATTTCAAATATTGGATCCATTTAAGAACCATGCTAATCACTCTTATTATAATTAAGCACAAATTGAATCACTTTGTAGAAAAAAAACATTGTCCTCACAGTTTATTTCTTCTTTACAAACTTTATGGTTCAACAAAATTGCAAGCATCAGCCCTAGCCAATTTGGCTCAGTGAATAGAGCACTGGCTCGCAGACACATTGATGTTTCTCTTTCTGCCTGTCCCTCTTCATTCTGCTTTCTCTAAAAATCAATGGAAGAAATATCCTTGGGTGAGGATTAAGAAAACAAATAAAATTGCAAACATCATGCTTCTAATTTTAGTTGAGAGGCAACTCTTTGACATTCAGAGGTTGCTCATTCAAGTTGTTCCCTCTGCGGGGTGGGGAGTGGAGGGAGCTAGTTAGGAAATTATGATCCTGGGATTTTTAGGATATGTTACATGATTCCTTGGACTGTAACTCATTTTCAAGTTTCTTGTTCTTCTCCTGAAGCCGCTCAATTTCCCGCTCAAATTCCTAAAAGAAAATGTGGAGACTGAACTCACACAATTTAAAATGTTTCTCACATTTGCGAAATTATTTTCCTTGCCCATACCTGTTATGAGTTTTTCAATTTTATTTTTAATTATGTGCCTTTCTTCTTTCTACTATATTACTTTCTCCTATGCCAACCAATAATACTTCTGAGCTTTATTTAGCTACAGAAATGTTCTTTCTCATAGTTTCTAAAATATTAGTGACACAGATCCTATTCTTGGCTTTCTTCACCCACATGCATCATAGTGTTCCTGGAAAATATATCAGTTTTTCCTTCAACTCTGATCTAGGTGGTGTGGATTCTCAAATATATATCTAAGAAGGTGAGAAAGATTAGTGAATTCCATTGGGAAGTTTACTACATAATTCAGAATCATGGCAGATGATTGATCAGGGAACTTAATACAACTCTCCAAAACTTGGTAGCAAGGTAACAGAAATAAGTTGAAGAGATCAGGGCCTGTGCCAGTCCATATTGTATTTCTGGGAGGACATCTGGACTCAACAATGACTCATAGTAGAGCCTGGAGAACAGCAAGATACAGGCAGCCTGGGTATGTAATTACATGGTTAATTCTGTAGCTGGTCACAGAGACTTACTTCATGAGGGTGCCTGCAGAGATAAAGTTATACCAGGTACTGAGGAAACAAAAATACCTTGAACTACATTCAGTCAGATAGAAAGACCAGCTATACTTCCACAAGGCAGGACTCAGAAATGATAATTATCTCACATGATATTACAATTTTCTCATTTAAAAATAAGATTATAATAGTACTTACAACATAATAGAACAATTAGATGACAGAATGACTGTAAAGCCATTGATCAGTGCCTGGTAATGAACAATTATTATTTATTAGTGATCTAATAATAAAGGATTCCATGAGATTTTATCCTGCAAGTATTATCCTTTAGTAACCAGAGATGGTAACAGGTAGAAGCAGTAAGAGAATGTAGTGTCTACTAGTGATTGGGCTGGAAAAGTGACATAATGCTCTACCTTTTAAGCAATGTTTTTGATTCTGTACAGTTGAAGTTAAAATGGTGATGACATAATTTAATACCT